GGGGGGGGGGGGGGGGGAGGGGAGAGGAAGGGCTGAGTGGAAGTAGTAGTAATAATACAGTAGTTAGTAAGGTGGTGTAGGGAGTCTGACACCGCGGCAGAACTGGTTCGAATGCAAAAGAGCAGTGTTTGTCTTTTCAGTAGATTTCTTTTTTTTTACACGTCTCTTTTTTTCACCTTCCTTTCTTTTTGTTCTCAGAGTGCTAGGGATATGCAAGTGGTCCAGAAGTGGCCGGGGGAGGGGGAGGAGGGGGAGGGGTAACTGTGACTAACTGGTGATGACTGATGTCCAGTAACTAAGTTAACATACAGTACAGGCTGAATTGGTGAGAATTGGGAGTGAGCTAGAAGAGGCAATAAGTAGTGGAGCTGAAAGAGCTGAGCAGTAATCCGTACTGTACAGCACTTTAAAGGTACTCAGTGAAAAAGCGAGAGACTGAAGGTAGGTAAGGTAACAGGTATAGGTAAGGTAAGTTATGAAGGAGGGGGAGGCAAATGCGCGACCTGTGAACTCAGAGACGCTAAGAAATTCATCACCGGCTCATCACCGGCAGTGACCTCCTCCATATTCCACCCCTCATTGGTACCTGGAAGGAGGGGCCAAAATTACCCATACTTGTACTATACTAATTTACACATGGCGTATTCAGTGAGGATCTGCAAATCGTCTGGATAAGGACCTTTGGAGCGAGCAGATTGCGACTTCTCAGGGTTTGGTTTGTTTGTGACACTTTTACCCAACAAGGAAGGATTTCTTCATTGCAGGTGACAGCAGTGATTCTTCATCATCGTGGAACTGGGGATTGTCGGAAGCACGAGCAATCAATCTCAATGCACGATCGAACAAATCGAGCGCAGGGAGAGACCGTGTCTCCTTAGCCTCAACTAAATGCAGAATGATCGGCCTGTCTCTGTCTGCAAGTCTGTAACGGGATACTGACTGCTGGTCGATCTTGCAGGATTCCTTGGCTGGGAAAGCTAGTCTACTTGCATACATCACATCCTCACACCAGATAGCCCAGCTCGACAATAATGAATCGGACCTGGACAATCACTGCACCACATCCTCTGGTCTCGCTTGATGATTACGGGAAAGACCCTCCTTTTGTCCTTATCGCCTGCATGCGTAAGACCAGCGGGTTTGCAGCTAGTGTGGAAGGCACGCCTCACCTACCGTCGACACTCTCTTACTGCAACGCTTTCTTTGCCCTATAGATCCCCATAACACCTTTAAAAAACTTAAGATGATCTTCTCTACCCAGAATGTTCTAATTCGGTCTATCTGCCATAAGCCAGAAACACTCCAAGGATACAGCAGCAGCAACAGCAATGATACAGCTCATTATCGACACCTCACGGGTCGAATGGGCCTATTCAGCAGAAATCATTGATGAGCCTCTTCTTTAGATGGATGGAGAGCCTCCTCTATATCCCGTTCCGCCTTGGCCTCCTCTGCCGCCGCTTCTTCCACGCCCTCAAGAACCTTGACCCGTCGCACCAGATCAGTAACGTGCACATCGGCACTCCCCAGCCCCAGTCCGTCAAGCGATTTCTCCAAGAGATACAGGTATTCAGTGTTCTTACCACTCTGTCCCTGACTGCGACTTATCACCTCGGCCACATCTTGTTGCTCTCGCCGGACCGAATCCCGCAAAAACTGCGGATTGGTCGGTTGACCGATGTAGACCATACAAACGATTGGAGATGATGGAGATTCCTCTGCGTTTGGCTCCTTACGGGTATCGACGGGATGGAAAGGGGTGTAATGGACGGTGTAACCATCGATTTCTCGGACATCGAGATAATCGTGCACCTCCTCAGCATGGGAAGCAGGGATATGATATGCAGCACCCCAAACCGTGGCCGTCGGTGAACTTTCAAGGTGCGCCAGCTGTTTCAAACTGTGAGTGAACTATCTCAGATAGGCAAATTGGCGGTAAACAGACCGGATCATCCAGTGTTTCCCAAAATTCCCGTTCGATCACTGTCACAACTCGTCCAGGGTTCTCTGGAGTGCCACGATGGTCGGTACTAAATGCGGCCTGTCAGCCCTGACATGTCATCTCTCGAGAATAGCTTCACCCACCTTGCCTAGTCGACATCGCCAGTAAGTTTATCTGCACAGTGACAAACACAATCATCACAACCTCAAGGTAAGAGATATGCATCAACGAACCTGCCAGAAGCGCCGCACATAGCCATTGATGTAGCCGGGAACCCGTTGATCTAGCAGATATTAGCCCATCTGTACTATGAATGGCAATGAGACACTCCTGGTATATGGACGTATGCTCTAAGTTATTTACCGTAATGCGGCGGTGGCTTCCAGATTAAACTCCTGCTCTGCATCAGCCGCTGGTTGTAGCCACTGGTGGTTGATTCCAGGGATCATCCTTCGGCCGCTGAGCGGCTAGGCTTACCCGTATCCGAACACCCAAAGGTCGCCTTTAGGGAAGTAGTTCCGCCATGTCCGGCCATCTCTGGGAGTCTCGCTCCCTTGCTCAGCCGAGCCCATCTCCGATGCCTCAACCTGGATCTTGGATTTAGATGTGGCTCGGGTGGTTTTCTGGGAGGAGATACGGGTTGACCCACTGAGTACAAACTGGTCTATAATAATATTTGTCGTATGGATAATGGATCTTAGGCAGAAAGCTGTAATAAGAATCGATAAGACCTAGGTTGGTGAAGTGAAGCAGCCAGAGAGCAAGTCTTCAGGTTGACTTACTCGGTTCTTTCCAGAATCTATGGGGCAAGCAGACAGGCACCTACCACAATGGTTATATCACCGCCGATTAACCAATTCACTCAACAATCGATTGATGAGAAATCACCCGCCGCTGAGCGTGCCTACACATGTATTTACTCCGCATGTTTGCATTGTTTGTCATCCCCGATCGATGACTTCAATTCCAGTCTGGATCTCGCCATCTTGCAGCATTGTCTCGGGAAGTCACTTGAGGCGGTGCGACGGAAGTTATATTTTGTAGAGTTAGCTCTTACCGATTGCCCCAGCCTTACGTGAGCAATTTGCACCTCCTCTGTTCCATTTGCATGGATTACAAGCAGAGCCTCACGAACTGGAAGGCAAATCGACCACCCAAATTTGTCAGGGGGCGGATCGCAGTTGCAGAAGCCCCGCTTAGTCCATCCCATCCTTGCTCGGACTTTGCTGCAGAGCTTGCGCACCCTCCCTCTCGTATTCGTTTCCTGCTCCAGCAGTCTCCATCATCCTGTTCGTCTCGGGGCGATTCAGCGGGGCCGGCGCAGACACCGGACCCGGCTTTAGCAATACGCTAATTTCAGCTGGCAGCTATCACCAACGTCCAGTCGTCGAGGCTAATCATTAGCTTTGAGACGGCCACGTCCTGGAAATCCCTACGCGAACCTGCTCAATTTGAATCGGTTAGATCTACTACACCAACCTTGTTCGAGATCTTGGCAACGTCCTCCTCGGCCGTATAATGTCGACCTCGAAGGCCATACTGCTGTGTCTTTTCACATTCGTCATGGCAGGGCTATTTCGGCTACGTCGGTCGCGACGCAATATCCCGGTCGATCCCAGCGGGGTGTCTTTCGCAGGGAAGACGGTGCTTCTGACCGGAGCAACATCCGGACTGGGATTCGAGGCGGCTGTCAAGCTCCTCAGCCTGGGCGTGGACTCACTCATCATAGGCAGTCGTAACCTGCAAAAAGGCCACGCGACCAAGACGGAGCTTGAACGACGCACCGATAGACCGGGTGTGGTGCAAGTGTGGCAGCTGGAGATGAACAGCTTCCAGAGCGTCAAGATCTTTGCCGAGCGTGTGAACAACGAAGTGAACCAGTTGGATATTGCAATCCTCAACGCGGGTCTATGGAATCGAGACTACACCGTATCGCCGGAAGGATGGGAGGAGACGCTGCAGGTCAACGCTCTCTCGACATCCCTACTGGCATTCCTCCTCCTCCCCAAGCTGAGACGCAGCTCGACACCGACGCAGCCAACACATCTTACAGTGGTCTCCAGCCAACAGTTCGTTCGGGTCAAGGCGCAGAACCTCCGAACGGAAGAGCCGTTACTCAAGCATCTGAACGATCCCCGCAATTTCATAGGCCGCCGGCAGTACGGAATCTCCAAACTTTTGCTCGAGTATATGCTCAAGATGGCTGCCGGTATGGTTCGCCAGGAAGACGGGACGGTGCCCGTGATCATCAACTCCGTAAGTCCCGGGTTTTGTGCCTCGTCACTCGGGCGGCAGTATCGTAGATTTTACGAGCGATGGCTGTCTTGGCTGGCGTATAAACTCTTTGCGCGCACAGCTGAGCAAGGCAGCCGATCGCTGGTGAGTGCCACTTACCAAGGGGTGGAGTCTCACGGGAAGTGTTGGAGAAACGATGGATATCTAGAGTGAGTCTACCTCGGACCTGTCCCACGGTTACAAGGTGCTGGTTAACAAAGAACAGCGAATCGATCGCGTTGACAACGGGAGCGGAAGGACAGCAGTTTCAGAACATTGCTTGGAACGAGATCGCGTCTATTTTGAATGAACAGAAGGAGGGGCTGGAGCAGTTGGTCGGAGGTTCGTGACGGCGCCTAGGCTTCCCCGGTCTTGTGGCCTCTGCGAATGACATCGCAAGGCTGAGCACCTTTGACACGAAGTCTTTAAATCTTCTGAATCACTGGCTCTGAACACAGCCTCTCAGCGACTCAACCCTAGTTTTGTATAGTATTAAAAAGTAGCACAGATGCCTTTTTCTTTGCGTGGGATCCACCACGAATTGGAATGGAACCCGTGGGCCAACCGCTTCAAAAATAAGCTGTGTCGGATATAGGGCTGAGTTTCTTTCAGTCGGCCTGATCTGCCTTCGTTCCGCGCGCAGTTTTAACCTTCACCCCCCTTCAGTGACAAACCTTGCTTGTACAGAAGGCAACTGATTCGAAACCTTTTGTTCTCTTTGGTGCGATTGACGGATCATCTGCGCCCATTAAACGGACTTTCTACTGTGTACCTATGAGTATGTGTACGGCGTCTTCTGCCCCCTTTTATGGTTGAATTCGGTTGGCGATTCCTGCTAAACCGCCGCCCCACGGCTCCGCTCTGCAGGTCCGCAAAAACGAATCTGGTCGCTAACTTAACAACTAACTGCATAGCCAAAGCCTAATAATTCCTTCATCTCCCCGAACTCCTTTCGGTCCTTGCCTTTCACTCCAAAATTCTCTACACCTAGATATCTTACCTTACCTCCTCGTCGTGCTTGGAGGATTGAGTCACTTCAAGCCTACGCTGCCCGTTTTGACGCCTGTCGCTCGGATTGCGCCCGCCGCCCTTACGTCAGTCAGCCTTTGCCGCCATGGCGTACAATCAGTCCTACAATCCAGATGCGCTGCCAGCGTGAGTCGAGAACCAAGATAAGCCCAACGGAAACATTGAGCAACTGTCGCTAATATGTGAGGATCATAATCTCAGCCACGCAGAGCCCGAGCAGGTACGCAGGAACCCGAATAATGCAGGTTGATCTACTTCTCTACCCCGCAGCTACTGACTTGAGGCGAATGACAACAGGTTGCGCAGATGCTCGGTGCTATGCAGACGAGCAGCTCAACTCACCAACGACCCCCTCGACAGTCTTCTCACCATTCCTCCAGCGGAGTGCCTCCGCGCGTGCCAGTGTCCGGAGCGCCGAGCGCCAACCCGCAGCGCTACCCAGCACCTGCCCAACAGACTCACCACGGCGGACGATCGCCGACCGTTCCTGTTCAACAACGCCCGCACCCATTACACCCCTCGCCTCCTCCCCAGAACTACGGCTTTGGGCCTCCTCCCTCTCAGCCCGTGCGCAACCGTCCTCCTCCGTCGTCGCGTCCGCCCCAATCCCCACACCCTCCTCCACTCTCGGTCCCCGACGATGACCCACAGCAGCTGTACCCCCTGTTCCGCGCCGCCAACACCTCGCACTCCGGGGCGCTGACGGAGCTGGAGCTGGGCTCTGCACTGGTGAACGGCGATTACACCTCGTTCCACCCCAAGACGGTCAAGATGATGATCCGCATGTTCGACCGCAACAGCAGTGGGACGATCTCGTTCGACGAATTCGTCTCCCTCTGGCGCTATCTGGCGGCGTGGCGGGAGCTCTTCGATCGGTTCGACGTGGACCGGAGCGGACGGATCAGCCTGCCCGAGTTCGAGAATGCGCTGGTCGCTTTCGGGTACCGCCTCAGCCCGGGATTCGTGCAGGTCATGTTCATCACCTTCGAGAGCAAGGGGCGGCAGATGAACGGGCACACCTATGGCAAACATGGCATGAGTTTTGACCTGTTTGTGCAGGCCTGCATTAGTCTGCGTCGCATGACCGACGTGTTCAAACGGTATGACGACGATCGGGATGGATATATTACGGTGAGCTTCGAGGAGTTTTTGACAGGTGAGTGTGGACGCAGCCCCCCCACAAAGAAAAAAAAAAGCGGTATTGCACCGACAGATAACTGACGTGTGTGTGATATGCTGCCGTGTTGCAGAGATTCTTCAGTTGCAGGATTAGATGGAAGGCGTGGAGTTGGGGGTGTTTCATAGTAAAGGTGGAGATGATCGATTACTGCACCCTTTCATGATGTGTCTGTCATTGTACATTATATACCCTATTTATTTCTCTTCCAGTGGCATACATGGACATGGTGATAGAGGGGTGTGGGCTAAAGAAGAGATAAATTGTTTCTTTTGTGAAGAACATTCCTAGGTAATGTTTGGTTTTATGAGAGAAGTGCCAGGTACTGTACAGTACTTACTGTCCAGACGGGGGTGCCTGGTATACAGTTCACCTGCCTAGAACATCGGGCGGTGATGGAGTATGGAGTCTGGATCTCGGCCTCGCATAAGGCAATCCGCTCCGGGCTACCTATGGCTATTACCGTAGGTAGTCTAAGCGGTGAGAGCCAGTCGCTCTTGTTGGGCAGGCATACAGTTCCAGTTTGCAGATGGTTTGTATCAAATCATCGACTCATCGACTCATCAGAAAAGCTCGGCATCGGCGGGGAAAAAAGTCCGACAGTCCGAGAAGATGAAGATGGGGTTGACTGGAATTCTCCGCCCTGCAGCTGACTTTTTCCCCCCCTCTCTTCTATACTAGTCGCTTGCGGACCCAATGGTAAAAAGTTTTGTATATAAAGATGATCCACGTTCCAACCCGAAGAAGAATGAAGAAGAAGATGATGACTCCAACTGGAACCAAAATTCGATTCAGGGACCGCTTCAAAGTCGAGGCCCATTTCTTTTTCACCTGTTCTTATCTCTTACCCTTTTCGGGGGTGAGGACCACAAAGCCGACCTTATCTCCGACACCTAAAGTGCGAAAAGTCTCGGTCTCGGTCTCAAACATAATACGTAAATAGGATCAGCAAAAAAAGAAAAGAAAAACGAAAGGTAGTAGCTTAGTTGCTTTTGTCTTTAAGGCTAAAATGCTGAGCAATAAACAATTGACTTGAGACTGTCTCTCATTATCTCATACTTAGCTAACTTCGATACGCGCCACAGTTCTAGAAAGAAAAAAAAACCCCAGGCCTAGGAATCTTGCTTGCTGCGAACCCCAAAGTTTTGCTGCAACCGTCGGGGTTCGCCCGCCGCCACCGTCAACACTAAAGGGAAACAACCCGGTTTGCTCTGCGGTCTCTGCTCTGTCCTTCCAATCCAACTCAAGAGAAAAGAGAGCGGCCAAAAAAAAACCTCGGTTATTTTCCCCCTCTTTTCCTTTTTCTCTCTCTCTCGTTCTTCAGGTTCTCTCCGTCTACTCTCGTCGAATTCGGATATTATACACCAAGTCATGACGGGTCATCAACACCCTCACGTTGAGGAGACCTCAGTGGACAAGGGTCCGATGATTGCGGAGAGCATGTCACCATCCGAGGCAAGCACCTCTTCCTACAGAGCTGGGTCGGAGAAGCCTGACGCTGTCAGGCCCCCCTCACGAACAGTCTCACATGAACGAATCCCCGTCGAAACAGAGAAAGGCCATCATGACGGAACGCTAGAAGATGAGGCTGCTGTGGCTGCTGCTAGCGCCCCGCTGGATCGCGTGCCCTCTCAGGCACAGAAACTGGGGAAGAAGAAGATCTTGGTCGTTATGACCGCTCTCTGTGTATGTTAATCCCCATCTCTCTCCACTTCACTATCCACTCCGGCTCGGACATTGTGACAGCACGCTAATGTTACATATAGTTGGCTCTGTTCTTGGCAGCTCTGGACATGGTAAGGTCTTCTGGGTCCCTGGATCTTGATCGCCAGTCTACTGACTTTCTGGTGCCTCGCTTCATAGACAATTGTCTCGACAGCACTTCCCACTATTGCCAACCACTTCCATGCATCGGAGGGCGGGTACTCATGGATTGCGTCCTCTTACATGCTGGCGAACGCCGCCTGTGTTCCCCTCTGGGGTAAGATCAGCGATGTCTGGGGCCGGAAAAAGATCATCCTGATTGCCAATTTCTTGTTTTTGGTGGGCAGTCTCATCTGCGCGTTGGCAGTGAACCTGCCCATGATCATCGCCGGCAGAGCGATTCAGGGCGTTGGCGGCGGTGGAATCATCGTTCTAGCTAACATTTGCGTGACGGATCTGTTCAGTGTTCGGTCAGTATAACCTCGCCTTGAGCTTTTCAGCAACCCTCCGGAGGGCTTGACCGGCTTAGTTAGACTGACTATATGCAGGGAACGTCCGATGTACTACGGCATTTTTGGGTCGACCTGGGCCATTGCAGGTGCCCTGGGTCCTATTATCGGAGGTGCTTTCACCACCAGTGTAAGCTGGCGGTGGTGCTTCTACATCAACTGTAGGTCTTTCATTGCTTATGCAAATCAATCTATCTCCACGCTAACACCTGATATCCAGTACCCATCGGAGGCTTCTCGCTCGTCATCCTCATATTCTTCCTCAAGATCGAAGCCAGCAAAGTGCCCCTTCTTGCAGGACTCCGCTCTATCGACTGGTCGGGCACCTTCCTCATGATCGGCGGCACGCTCATGTTCCTCTTCGGCCTCGAATATGGCGGCGTCAGCTACCCCTGGGCGTCGGCCACGGTGATCTGCCTGATCATCTTCGGAATCGTGACTTGGGTCGTCGCCTTCATCAATGAGTGGAAGATCGCGCGCTATCCAGTGATCCCTCTCCGGCTGTTCAACAACTTCCACAACGTGCTCATGCTCCTGATCAACTTCTGCCACAGCTTCGTCTTCATCTCCGGCTCCTACTACCTCCCGCTCTACTTCCAGACGGTGCTTCTGGCGTCCCCGATTCTCAGCGGTGTCTACGTCCTCCCCACCGTGCTCAGCCTCTCTATCTTCTCCGCGGCCACGGGCGTCGTCATCAAGAAGACCGGCCGCTACCGCGAGCTCATCACCGGCGGTCTCCTCCTCATGACGATCGGCTACGGCCTCTTCATCGACCTCAAGGCCTACGCTAGCTGGCCGCGCATCATCATCTATCAGATCATCGGCGGTATCGGCACGGGCCCGCTCTTCCAGTCCCCGCTCGTCGCCCTGCAGGCCAACATCCACCCCAGCGACATGGCCGCCGGCACGGCCACCTTTGGCTTCATGCGCCAGGTCTCCGCCGCCATCTCCATCGTCCTCGGCACCGTCATCTACCAGAATGTCTTCGCCAGTCGCATGCCCCAGATTGCTGCCGCCGTCGGAGCCGACAACGCCCACGCCATCGCCTCCTCCTTCAGTGGATCCCAGGGCGATCTCCTGCGCTCCCTGCCCAAGGCCCAACGCCAGGTCGTCCTCGACGCCTACACCCTCGCCTTCAGCCGCATGTGGATCTTCTACTGTGCCATCGCCGCCCTCGGCCTGGCCCTGAGCCTGCTCGTCCGCCCCGTCACCTTGAGCAGGGCCCACACCATCGCGAAGACCGGCCTGGAGGAGCAGGAGAAAGCCCGCAAGGCCGTCCTGGAGGCCCAGCAGAAGCAACAACACGGCGAACCCCAGCCGAAGGAGGAGGTATAGTGTGGATACCACGCCACCTCACCCCGTTCCTTGTCCTCCACCGGCTCTCAAATCCCTGCGAATGGAGCAAAGGGTCAAGGTTAGGTAAATAATTTCAACTCCAAAGAAGAGTTGGAGCATATATTCTTTCTACTTCATAATGTCTACATATTCTCATTGTCCCCCTCTCTCCCCTTCTTCCCCAAGACCGAATTTCAGGGCAAAACTGGCATATATACTTCTTCAAATGCCCGGGGAAAGCGGAGGTGGGATTCTTCTCCTTCCTCATTGCGTTGTTTGCATTGTACTGCATTGCATTGCGATCCATTCAAGAAAAAAGCGGCAGCATACGCAGGCAGCACTTACTTTACTCCATGTGCGAGTGCTTCTCTCCATCTACAAACCACATATACTTGTGATTTACAGTACCACTGAATCTGATATGACCATACATGATTGAAATGGAAATGCATGTGGATTATGCATCAAGCGAGATCAAATTATTTCACTTTCCTAATCAAACATATCCATATCCAGCTAGAACCCCACCTCTTATATACATTCTTTAACACAAAAAAGTAAATAAGAGAAAAATTGAGAATGAAAAAAAAAATACTTGGGAAACAAGAAAAGAAAGAGGTCACCGATCACCGATCACCGATCACCGTCACCAGCACTATTGCCCTCGGGTGCAATCCAAGATAACAACACAAAGAAGAATTAGAGTTAAGAGGGCACAGAAAGGAAGGAAGAGGCAATGCCGGGGGGGGGGCTTTTTAAACTTTCCGCCTTCGGGTTCCAGAGACGAACAAACTGGAGAATCACAGGGTGAGGAAAGTACGCCGCGGCGTAGGTGTGTTGGAGATCTGAGGGTCTCAATAGCAAAGCGAAGCAATACCCACACAGTATATAGCCCAGCTAGACAAAACAAAAAGGGAAAGTGAGAACGATGACAGATACTAAAGGAAAAGGGGTATAAAGTTGTTCCGCAAAAGACAACCCTAAAACAAAGGAGAGTGACACAGACACACACATCCACACACATCCACACACATCCACACACACCACTAACTTCGACAAACGGAATTGCCCAAAATTTCCTCCCTGACAAGTAAATTCACTAACGCCATGTAAATGCCATTATTTAAAACATGGGATAAGAAGAGACAACAGAGCCAATGAGATAGGGGGGGACCGTCAACTTTGTGATGCGCAACAACTCGCAATTTCCAGAAGTTTTACGTCTTCGGCTTTTTTATCACCCCTTCAGCGCTCGGCCCGCTGTCGGGGCTTTTGCGCTTCTTATCTTGATCGTTGTCTTCACGTCCAAAGCCAGGTCCGGTCTGCACGGCCGGGGTCGGGAACGTCAAAGGGCTTGGGAGCATATTGCTGTCCGGACCCGAGCGACCGAATCCCCATTCGGGAAAAAAGCTCGAAGGTGATGGTAGCAGTGCGTCTGAAACAAATCGACTGGGCAGAGCCGAGATTGGCGTGTCAATATTGCTATTATTGTTGTAGGCGGCATTGTTCTGCGCGGCCGGGCCGGGAGGCGGTGGTGGTCTGGCAAACGGGTTCGGTGGTCCCTGGGCCCCCGCGCTAAGGATCGCGCCAGCGGATGGTGACGGCGGAGGAAGAACCACGCCCGAATGACTAGTATCTGGATTGGCTTTTGCCGGCGTCAATGTCTTATTACCCGCCGAGTCGCGTGAGGACGATTCGCCTGTCGCACTGCCTCTATCTGAATTCTCGCTTGGGATCTGCACCTTCAGTTGCGGGCGCTTTGGGGGTATTTGGCCGTTGTTGGTTCGTGCCGGTGGCTTTAGATCCGCTACAGGCTGGGGGCGTGGGGTTTCCGTCGCCGCTCGAGGCGGTGGTGGCACCTTCCCGGCCTTCCCGGCCTTCCCGGCCTTCCCGGCCTTCCCTGCAAGTGGCTTGGGTGGCTTTACATCAGTGGAATTTCCCAGTGGAACTTCCGCCTTGAGGTGGGCATTTTCTCCCGGCTCACATGTGGGCGGGCCTACACCAAAGTGACGCGCTAAGACTGAGCCGCGGTCGTCGATAGGGGTGAAGATACTGCGCGACTTAGACGATAGAGATCTTTGATGAGGAGGCGAAGGACTTCCTTCTGCCTTCAGGGGGCCCGGCATCTGCTCCGCAGCGGTTGCTTCGGGAAGTGATACCGTCCGCGGCGGTTGCGGTTGCGGTTGCGGCTCATGCTGTGCAAATGTTGGGGGCATGGAAGCTCGCCCTTGTTCTGTGAGGAATGCTTGGGCGACCTGTGGTACGGGTGGGTGATGCGGCGCCTGCGATATAGCCATGGGTGGTGGTTGCGGTGTCATGGCATGTGGATGTGGGAGTGGTGCGAGGTGCTGCGGCATCGATTGAGGCGCCATCGAGTGCGGTGGCATTGCTTGCGGTGGCATGGGCGGATGCTGATGCTGATGCTGGGGTGGCCCGGGCTGATGGTGCGGCCCCGGTGGGCCATAATGCGCAAACTGACCGGGACGAGGAGGTTGAGCCATGGGATGGGCAACTGCTGGATTATAGACGGATGGATTAGGCATGTACGTGAAACCGTTCTGCGGTGGCGGCGGAGGCGGCGGAGGTGTGGCATGATGTTGTTGAGGTCCGATGTTAGAGCTGACGCGACGCAGATGATTCCTTGACGACGGTCTCGAGACACCTTGTGGTTGAGGGGTGCCATGACGAGGATCAAAGGGCATCCCGTTGGGGATGGGTGGAGAAGCTGACGGGGCGTGATTGACATGTTGGAAGCCAGGATGACCAGGAATATGGGCGGGGATCATGGGAGGATTCGGAGGCGTCGGATGAATGTCTTCGGGGGCGGGTGTCGTCTCATCTTCGTCGTCGTCATCGTCGCGTTTACCGTTAAAGTCTTCTGGGCCTTTGTGTTCATGCGGAGGTCCAAACTGCAAGAAATGGGTCGCGTCAGCTGCAGGAAGGAGTGTCAGAATCTGAGGGCCCACCGCACATATTGATATCGAGCGAGCGTCTCTCGCATGTCACAGGACGAAAATTCATATAGCTTCTTGTTGTGACCAAAAATGATGACAGCGACATCGACCGAACAAAGAACCGCAAGCTCATGTGCCTTCTTGAAGAGACCGCCCTTTCGCTTAAGAAAGGTCCTGGGAACCGACAGAAATGTCAGTCAGTTAGTCTAGCAAATAGTGGTGATACCATCACCCCAAACACATCGGAAAGTTGCACAGGAAAGACCTACACTGAGCGGTTGCGGTCATCCTTGATCGCCTTGATCTCGATCTTTCTCCGACCCATGAGGGATGTAGGCGCCTTTATGCGGCACTGGCGACAAGGTCAATCACAAATATGCCCGGTGGAGTAATAGTTCGTCCGAATCGAATAGCGGCGCGAACTGAAACTCAGGGAAGCGCCGCCCGATGAAGGTATTTCCAGAACGCGAAGAGATAAGAAAAAAAAATAATAATAGGGAAAAGAGGAAAGATAGGAAAGAGAGCGACGACCAGAGAGCCAGGTCGCGGTCAGGTTGAAAATTATTATTAATTTTTACCGATATCCCGAGAGGTAGGAAATAGGGAAGCCTCGAAAACACTTCTACAAAGAGGAAGAAGAACGAATGACGAAGATCAGGGAAGGTAGAAAAGGTAAGGGTAAGTAAGTGTGGTGAGATTGGGAATGAGCGCGCTATTTTTGGAGGAGGGGACTGGGGGGAGGGGAGGAGGGGGGGGGGGAGATGCAGTAAGAAGAGAGTTAAGTTTGAGAATTGGGGGAAACAGTGGATGGGGTGTTAATGTGGATATCGATGTGAATGAGACAAGCCAGTGTGACGGTAAAGACAAAGGGGGGGCGGCGCGCAAAGGAAAGTGGGAGTGGGAGGGAGTGGCTTTGTGTGGCTCAAAACGAGAGAAAGAGTAAAAGAGAAACAGGCCAGACAAGCAGCAGCAGCAGCCAGGCAGTCAGGCAGCCGATGCAAGGATGGCCTCAGGTATAACCAACCTTCAGGAAACAAAGACTGCGGCTCCAGGTAAGTCAACAGCAAGTGGAGTTGAGAGAAAGAAGTCAGAGTGAGAGAAGAAGTGGGTAACAATTAGGACAATAGTAACGATGATGATGAAGCTGATGAAGCTGAAAGTTGATGATGATGGGATGGATGAATGGATGGGGTGGAAGGTGAATGGAAGGAACACGCGGGTGATGCAGAAGATTATTCTAAAGATAGTCCCAGGCGTTTACCCGCTCGCCAACGGCGGCTCTCGACTGCCGCCCGCTCTCCCAGCTACTACGAGTAGTTATTTATAGACCCCCCAAGGCAGGACCATCCTTCCGGATTCCAGATTGACAGATGACTACCGAGTAGACTAGACTAGACAACTAGACCCCTAACTAACTAACTAACCCTCACTGACACGACGATCAGTCAGCTGAAGTTCATATAAGATGCTGTCCGAGCTCATCATTATCCCCGCCTCCATTCCTTCCTTTCGACTGTCACTGTCATTGCTACTACAATACACTTATTGCCTGAGCCATGTCACCAGCTTGCTCGGTGGTAGACCCTCACTGAACAGGGCTAAGTATTGAATGGGTTTCACAGGCCACCACTGACATTCTCACTCACAACCACCAGAGTCTCGACGCTACTACCTTAGGCATCATCCCACTCAAGGTTGGGGAAGAATGGTTTCACTTCGGGCGAATGGAGTTGAACAAGCTGGGCTGGTTGGTGAACCCCGAGGGGTCCAGAAGCCAGAAGGGGGGCCTGACCGCCTGCCTGCTTGTCCGGGTCAGCCTCAAAAAGCTTCTAGGGTACGGACAACTGGCCAACGGCTGGAGGGAGCACTCTGTACTTTGGTAGATGGAGGGATGGATCATGGAAACACCGGCGACTCTCCCGTCGCCTTCGCACCGGACCTTATCATTTCAATGCTTCCCATTCGGGTTTAGGTCCAGGTGGTTTGGTTTTTCCCGCCTGGACCAGTCACAGAACCCGTCTTAGGCTGGGGGATTATTATGATGATTATGAGGATTATTGAACAACCATCAATCGGGCATTGAACCTAGAATTGATGTCCATTTCTATTGATCCCCCGACGGATCACAGCTGATGTCGATTATTTGCTGCTGTACTACCTTCAACTGACCTACTGACAGAGACTGTGTTGCAGTTGGGATCGGAGTCTGAGGAGATATTAATGTGTCAGTTATATATACCGGGCAATCGACGTGCTTCATCCACTCGTGCATCACTAAAACTGTATCCATCCTATGCACTGTAGGTAGAAGCATGTCGGTGCAGATCCACGTTCGGAGACGGTGAGTCGGTAAGTTAATCGGTAAGGTAGTTTAAACTGCTAATGCAAGAGGAATTGGCCTCTGCATGAGGCTCGAGATTCTTCATCGATTCAGAACCATGGATGGCGGGCGTATCAACCAACGATTGCGGGTTGAGTGACTGACTTAGTTATTTTCCAACCCCTGAAACGGCAACCCCAGTCGATCCTCATTATCACCGGCGGTCCCTTCATCTCCTCTAACTGCCTATTCCTTCCCTCTTCCTCCTCTTCTTCTTTTCTTGCTTTGCTTTGCGCCGCACTGCATTTCTCTTCTCTTCTTTTTTTTTCTTCTTCCCTCTTGTCTTTCCCACTGACTGGTCACAACTGCAATTCACCCTCCCCACTTCCTCCATCGTGGCTGCAGTCGCCGCTGTGGTGGCATATTTACGAACCTGATTGCTTCCCGCCCTGCAGGCGATCCTTCCTGGACACTTGGTCGGCCTTCGCTCAACTGCTGCTGCTGCTGCTGCTGCATCTATCGCCTTCGGCCATTTTTTTGCCGCCTTCTTTTCGGTCGCTTCGGCTCGATTCGTTCGACCAGTCTGTAGACGCTGATAATTGATTGAGCTATCTGATCTGAATCGCTACTTCAGGACGCTGTTTACATCCACTGTCCCTCCCCTTGGGGGTTGTCACTTTCCTCATAATCCGCGCGCCTCCATCCTTTTATCATTCCTCCGCCTCATCCAAATCTTGCACCGTGTACCTGCTAGCCATACTTCGTGACCAACTCGTCTAGTTAATTTCGCAACTTTTTCTTATCGGATCTCGCTAGTGACCCCCGGTTACACGCCCCTCCTGCACCTCCGCTGTTGGGCATTGTTATCCGAACCACCTTTCCTCCCACTCCCCGTTTATCTTTCTCTGAGGATCGCGTCGTCCGCCCGCCGAAAACCTGGCGCGCAAAAAGTGTCGGTTCAGAATGCCTTTCTTTACTCGCGTTTTTCGCAGTAAGGATGCCAACACCCCCAAGAAGAACGCCAAAACCTCCGAGGTAGAGGATCAGGGCCCCGCAAAGCCCACATGGACAGACGCGTGGCAGCGAACCGCAGTTGCCCCAGAAGAAGTCCAGGAGCTATTGCACGGATGTACTCAGGAATTGAAAGCACGAGGTAGGCCTCCATTGTGGCGGATGATCCACCCCCCGCTTCCCTTGCCAAATTTAGTCCACCCCTGTGTGCATTCCTCGACTTGCTGATCCTTGCCTCCTTCTTCTTTGACAGCTCTCCAAACTCCCTTCCTTCTTCTACCGTTCCGTCCAAGCTCTGACGCCAGCGCCGCACGCACCTTCATCCGTAACTATTTCAACCAGTCCGTGGAGAAAGGCTCGCCGGTGAACGGAGAAGCATTGGCACAAGATCTGCGGCTGTCGGACCCAATCGTGAGTGGCTTCAACCATGTCCTGATTACTACCGCGACTTGGTTCTTACTCTTCGCTTCCGATGGATATAGGTCATATGTAGTGTGCTGAAATGGTGTTGGAGCAGACTCCCAGGTGGTGTCGTGACCTGGGAAGCTTATGAATTGTTCAAGGTTGGCGAACAAGGTGCGACGATGGAGGCACCCTAGCTCCGGTATCAGACCAGCTGACCATACCTAGACTCTCAGTTCGCTCGCGATGCGTTCTCCACTTTCATCCCGATTAGTGTTGATTCAGACGCTCGGGCGAAGATCATCACCGACTTCTTCGACCTGCTCGCTGCTGTTGCGGCGCATGGTAAATCGAATGGCCTTGGTGGCCGCAAACTGTCTCGCTATGCTGGATGGTGGGCTTTTGACCACGCAGATACAGGCAGTGGCTTCGAGGCCGCCTACAAGAACTGGGCCAGGTACGTTGCGAGGACGTTCATTGCACCAAGGGTTCTGAAAGCTTACTCTTCCTCAGCGCGGCGGATGCGACAAGCCATCTGTTTTTCGCCTATCTACGCTCCTTATCGCCAGAACCCCGTGGGATCAACTCCATCTCCTCCCTACCTATTGCTCTGCAGAGCTTGATTCAGGGAACGGAATATCCGCCGGAGACGCCCACTCTTCTTCAGGTCTCGACGACGAAGGTGGTGATGATTGTTGACACAGTCTCCCCTACCCCCTTCGCTCTGCTGCGGCGCGCAAAGAACTTCGAGTACAGAGACAGTGACCGGCACCTGCAGGAATTTGCTGGCTTCGACGACCCTGTTCGCGCGCTCACTGACGAATGTCTCCGTGTACTGAAATCTATTGCCTCAACTAATCAGTCCGCAGCGACAGATTCGGACACTACCACCCGAGATGAAGCCTCGTGGTCAAGGTTCGAAGATTTTGGCTTTGGAGGCGCACTTGAGTCGGATTCCACCAACGATGCAAACAAATTCAGTCTACCCAGAAATGACTTTGGCAGTCTGAAATCCGCTCCCCAGTCTGGTACTGGAGATCTGGGCCGGCCCACCACCCCCTCCTGGGCGGATTTCATGTCCTCAGGCTTTGGTGATGAGACCGCTCTCAAAGGACCCGGTGGCCCCTTGCTGTTGCCCCCGGACAAGATTCTTCCTCCTTTATCTACGGTCCGTGTTCAGAGCTCGCAGTCGCACAAACGCAGCTTGAATGACGAACCCCTAACGGAGCCGGCTGAATTAGCAAGCATCACTACTCTGGATCTGGATGACTCTTTCTGGTGGGTTTGGATCAGTAGCTTGGCGGGTGAAGAACCGACCAACCGAAAAGCGGTATTTGGACGCTGCGCGTTACTCGAGACCATTATCAAAGATGCCAAGTGGCTGGTGCTGGAAGAACAAGTGAAGGGGGCCGCTCCTGAGCCTGATCCCGGTGCATATATTGCCGAGAAGAAGCGGTTCTTCGGCTTCTCCACTCGAAAGAAGGGTGTTACGCGTCGCAAGTCCTCAGCCAAGAAGGTCAGCTCGATGGAAGAGTCCTACAAACGAGCAGATAATACAGCACCGACAAGTAAGACTAGTATCGCTCCGGATCAGCATGCCCGCATTCAGGCGGCTGCCGCTGCCCTTCAAAAGCGACACCGTGAGGAACAAGAAGCTGCCAACGCCAGAACCAATGTGCCCCAAGATGCGCGATATTCCACCAAGACGAACTCCATCATGACTCTGCAGCCGTCGATCATGAATGAGGCATCTCAGGCTATGAAATGGGCAACCAATTATGACAAGAATACTTACCGCAGCGCCTACCTAAGCAACAGCCGTGCGGGCACAGGTTCCTTGGCAGACGACGTGAAGGAATCAACAGATGACCAGCCCAGCACTCCGACGTCGCTAGCGCCGAGCACCACTCGTCAGGCGCCCCCGCCTCTGCCAAAGGACACCCCGGCCAGCTCCCCCAAACCCGCAGTACCCAGAAAAGAGATTCCTGCTAGCGACTCTACTCCCAACGCTAGTCGGAATGGTAGCACCAGTGCTGCGGCTGATCTGTCGACGACAGAGTCTCTTCCCAAGCAATCAATGGATTCAGATGAATCCAGGCAGAAGCTCAAGAAGAAGACGGGCAACACAGGGTTCAAGAACATGTTCGGGACGATCAAAAAGAAGAGCGAGCCTGAACCCAAGCCACCAGTGAAGATCGCTCCCGCTGGAGGCTCGGCTGTTGCAGCAGCTCGTGCTGCCCTCGAGGATAGAGCGAGAGCAGCCCAGGAGCATCCTATCCGCCCAGCAAATAATACGTTGAAGAAGAAGCCTGTACCGCTGGCGCCAGCTGCAGAGATTATCAAGGCCAACGTAGAGGCCCCGAAATCTGATGTGGAGCCTGTTATCGAAAAGAAGGAACCTGAGATTGCTCCCGATGCTCAAGCTTCTGTGCCGACTACTAAAGCCCCCGAATCGCCGGACAATCAACCTAAGATTCGCCGCCAAGCCGAGTACGACGCGCTCTCTCGTATCGACACGAAAGAGCGAGCCGCTGCCGACCAAGAGTTCTCCCAATTCGATCAAGGCCCTCTAGTGGAACAGCCGGCCTTCGTCCCCGAATCCCCTGTTTCTGAAGAATTTACCGATGCTTCGGCGCATGCCCCGGGTGACGAGCCTGTCTCTCCACCCAAGCCGGTCCCATCCTCGTACGACCGTTGGGCTCAGATCCGCCAGAATGCCGCCGACAGAGCCGCCCAAATGGAGGCTCGCAAGGAGAACGACTACACTAGCGATGACAACACGAGCGAAGAAGAGAGTAAGTCACCTCCTTGCTAGTTATAACGTTTTCCAAGCAAGTTTCTAACATCTCTTTGTAGGTTTTGAGACGCGCGCTGCTCGCATCAAGGCCAGAGTAGCCGAGCTGACTGGCAACATGCAAGCCGCCAATCAGCCCTAGAGTCCGCCAATACACGTGATAACGCCTTCGTTATGCTATGCTTCCGGCCTTAACCTTCTGCTACTGTCTTTCTACATTGGCTGTCTTTTCCGCACATATACCTCGCCGCGCATCTGATGTGATTTAGTTTTTACCTGTTCATACCAATAAACACCCTCCTAATTAATGTACTTTTCTCTGTCTCCTACGCTTACATACCCAGGGTCATCATCACTGTCCTGCTTGCATTTATCCTATTGAGTCTAGACGGATGTCAAGGTGTCTTGTCTGTACGCGCATCTAAATATCTCCCACTCGCGTTTAGCTATTCATTCCCGAGTTTGTGTTCGTTGACTAGCTCAATCTGTTTGAAGCGAGAACCATATCGGTACTTGTTTATTCCAGCAATCACATGACTTGCAACGTTACTATGATACTGAGTAGTTTGTGGTGCGTCTCTCTTCTTCGATCTTAATCGGTGCACACCACGTTTCCGTCTACTTTCAGGGGCGGTAGTTAGTTGAGCCATACATTGGTCACCGCCTGCTTACCTTTCACCGGGAGTATGTACTGTTGTTGTACCTTACTTGGGCATCTTTTCAGACCCCATGCCGGTCGACCGTTCAACGATTACTAGAGTACACAATATGTTTCCAGATGGTGAAAGTCATGGCCTCGCTTACTTCAGACAGAACTACGGTACTGTACTTTTTCACTGTACAACACACGTTGTTTACGGTAAACCAACCTACTCCAAAGAACCCTACGTTTAACTCAAGATTCAGAAAAACAGCAGCACACCAACCAATACCTTTCTATTCTTCAGCTTCAGCTTCAGTACCAGTCGAGAAAAATAAATCAACAAGGCCAGACCGAAAAAATCTATTACAAGAACTCTAAGGCGTGAAGTATGTCTGTCATCCAAGCCTGACTGACGTCCATGCACAGAACGGTATATAAGAACAGCACAAAAAATGGGACCATCAAGGATTCATTCGAATCTCATGTCCCGCCGGTATATGGTTGATCTCTGTGTGTGCGAACAAAAAATCTTTGGACAAGTGGGAGGAAGAGTTGGGGGCAAGAGATAGATAATCGTGTAGATCATTGCGTATGTATCAATGCATGCCATTCCGGGGTTGGTTGCTTTGGCGTCGATATGTGTAGAGTAGAAGAAGATAAAAACATTATGCATTAGGGGGTATTGGAGAATGAAATCGTGGGTATATGTGTGGGATGTGACGACCGCGTTGAGAGGTTTTTGTACAAGATTTTGCCTGGTTTGACACCGTTTCGTTGGATGAGATCTTTCCGGGGGGGAGGACGTGGGATGAAGATGCGCTTTAATGCTCGAGGGCATCATGAGCTCATATCACGTGGCGCATCCGTCGCGTGGCCTCGACAGCTACGAGGGCGCTGATGGCGCCGATGAATAGACAGATCGAGATAGCGTTGGGTCTACTCTTATCCAGATTCATCCACTGAGACGATTCCTGCGCAGAGTCGTCGCGCTTGGTGCTGCCCGGTTCGAAGATACTGAACACGATCCAGCTGATGAATGTGCCCACAAACTGCGGGAGGGTCGTGTATACATTCAGCACGCCGAGGTAAATACCCGCAAGCTCTCCCGTCGAAGGGACACTAGAGCCGCCATCCTCCACGTCGCTGTCACTGTCTGAATCGTGGTGGTTGAGTCGGAGGACGTCCAGTTCTGTGTCCGTGGCTGTACGGTCGGCGAAGCCGCCCGAAAGAATGCTCGAAGAAGTGATCATGGTCACTCGTGACGATGGGGACGGGTTCATGGCTAGTTTGTTGATTTCCACCCCCATGAAGGCGAAAGGGGCCCAGCAGCTGATGGCCCAGGGGATACCGCAAAGAGCGACCAAAAATGTTGCAAAAGCGCGCGATCGTGCCAGGGGGGCGAAAACCATGGTGGCGGCAAACATGATGTGCGAGATTAACCACGTTGTCTGCAAGTCCGGACGGACGCTGGGGACTTTTTTCAATAGGGAGGCGATTCCGGGAGGTGGTCGTGGTGTGAACCGGGGCCGTTTGTTGTCCGGTGGCTGTACGCAGAACGGCAAAAGTACGGCTCCAAAAAGGGTGATGGATGAGAAGACAACCAGTGATGAACTGCCAACACGACCGACCTCTCCTAGCATATCACTTGGGCGTACCGCATCCTTGGGAACTTCGTAGCGAAAGTATGTCTCACCAACCCATGTCGTGCTGTAGAACAGAAACGGGAACCAGCCTATGCATTCCGATCAGAATAGCACCTTTATAAACAGAGACAAAAGTGCATCATACCAATCCAGGCCCAAAACTGGGCCCAACAAATCGCTTGAATGCGCGGTGGCAGCTCCATTGTTGTTTTCCACAACTGGGAGATCACCTGTAGCGCCCCGGCCTTGTCATCGGAGTCCCTAAGGTTTGATTATCAGTAAGTGTAAGGATACAGAGACCGTGCTGTGTTCCAAGTACCTTGCTGTGATCAGGACTCGCTCCTTCACCGCGTAGGATGTGACAGAAACTGCTGCTATTAGAGATAACGCAGCAAAGACCGTCATTTGCTTGAATTGCGTATCGCCAAAAGCAGTCCCAAAGATTTTGACCGTGTCAATCGAGCCGATCACATAACCTATAAGCTGTCCAATGGCCGTCATCCGGGTTGCTGCTGGGGTTTAGTTATCAGTCCTAGTAGTGCAAGGAGAGGAGGCATACCCCATGCCGAACCAGTTTGTTGAAGCGGGATCGGCAACGTATCGACTATGAGACTGCGACAGCACGCTTGCACTGATTCGCGGTTAACCGAGGAAAGCTCGACGCAGGGTAAGTCAGCACATACCAACATTGATTGCAAAATCTACCGCGTAGATACTCAGAACGGCAATGGCGATGGTAGTGCTTTTGGCCTAGGAAGATGTTAAGCCGTTGAATGCCACCAAAAAAACAGGAGCAAAGCAAGTACCTTCTCGGCATCTTTGACGAACATCCTGACAATCTCCGTTGTCCACCCCAACAGCAGTAGGCACATTGCGACCACCACCGATCCCACGAGCATGAATGGTCTGCGCCGACCCCATTTCGAGCGAGACCGGTCAGCGATCACACCAATAAGCGGCTGTATGATCAACCCGGAAAGCGGACCAGCAATCCAGACCAGCGACGTCTTAGACTTCGTGAGGCCGAGCTGAAGCAGATAGGGCGTGCAATCTTAAGCCGCACGAACGAGTTAGAAACGCTTGCGAAGGTTTTTGCCCTCCCCCCAAAAAGAATCACGTACATGTCATCTCAATGCCCCATGTAAACCTGCGAGCGACAAGAAGCAAGTCAGATAGATTGCTATTGCTGTATTCCTTTCTCCCGAGCGGGCGGAAATGGCGGAGAACGGTTCCTTAGGGGAGGGAGAAAACACTCACTGTAAACCCAGCAGACTGAAAGTCAAAAGCACCATGCGCACCCATTCTCTTCGTCCTCGGATTGAGGGAGAACCCACCCATCTTGCAGCTTGAGGCATCCTGCGAATTTGAATCGCGCGCATGCACTGTGACGCCCCGGTGCTCTACCAATTGCAACGCTTTCCATTAACCAGCGTTGGTTTGCCCGCTCACTCAACTCACTCCGTGCCTGATTTCGGGCCGAGGACAGTGTCGTCGACAGGCTCCCCAAACTGTCGCGCGTGGTGAATATATATCCTTCGAGGCTGGAACAACTGATCGAAAGAAGCACAGAGGTTTAGGACGAATCAATAAAAAAAAAGGCAGTGGTTGGAGAAAAGAGGTTGGTTGTCGCACGGTTTTTGGTCGTTATTAAAAATAGCCGGAAAGGGTTTCGTCCTTGGTGGTATTCCAAGTGCGGAGCTCCGGCAAAAATGTAGCAGGTACGGAGTATAGCTGCGGGGAAAAGAGGGTCGTAATCTAATGCGCGATATGCCTGCGGTCAATGGAAATTCAGTTCTGTGGGAGTGTGATGGATTCGAGTTTGGCTAAGAAGCATCGAAATCGTGAGAAGAAGGGAGAGAAGAAAAGGGTCAAGATGAGAGAGGACACAAGAGAGAGAAAAGGAAAAAAGAGAAGGAGAAAGAAGACGACGAAGCCCCCGGGGCTATGAAGGGCAAGCAAGAAAGACGCGGCAGCGGCAGGACAGCCAAAGACGACGCATGCGGGCCCCCGGCCCGTCGTGGTGGGTGGGCTGGTCTGGTCTGGTCTGGTCTTATCGGCTCCCAGAGAAGAGAAGAGACCCACTGCTGCTACTATTCATATATTCTACGAACTGCCAGGGCCTTCCCCCCCCCCGAGCAGAGCAAGGCACGCGACCTGGAGGGATTTAATTGCACCCCTGGAGGTCTGGGCATCCTCCGGGCACTGCTGCACAACTGACCCTCCTTTTCCAGCTTCTCTCCTTACACGACATAGAAATAACAGGCCTTAGCCCTTCTTGGTTAAGGGCTCAACCATCGGGGCGATTGACAGCTGCGTTAAATTGTGATCCTCAAACCATAGTGGGGTTTTCCTTCGCCGTTCCAGGGTCCATCTCTGAGAGTCATCTCAGGAACGGCTCGATTCCCATGAGCCTTGAACCCGGTGGCTGCAGGAATTGTTGGACGGAAGAGTGCGGAAGACTGGGAACATTTACAGAACTCAGCTTCGCAGGATGCTCCCTTGCCGCCGCTCAATTGCCCAGTCAGGCAATGAATGATTCCGTTCGCTTAGCTACCCGAAGCGTGGTATGTAATCCGCCTGCCAGTAGATATGCATCCGTACAGCTTGGTTCTAGAACCCGGATGGCTTGCGGGAATGTTGTCGGGTCTAATTCACTCTATTGCCTTTCGCCAGCATTCCTGCGATTCTGCGACAGCCAACCTGATCCAACCTACGCCACCTTTAAACACCACACCATGACCACACCAGCCTCATATGATTCGTAACGTGCTCTGCATTCGTTTCTAAAGAAATAGGAGGGGTGGTAAACAGTAACTCCAGTCATTGCCCGACCGACCGATGAACAGTACCGTTAAG